CATCTGGGAAGGTTTTACGCCTATCATGGCTACACGTGCCCCGTTGCCGTAGGCTCTTTATGGGTTGTTTGAAGACTCTAATAGCATGATACTTATCACGGTGAGTGGTGTGCCGGGGGTAAGGGACCATGGGTAGTGCCCACGGGTCCCGCCGCCGACACAGCTTTCCGCGGGAGCGTAGTAGACCCCCTAAGTTCGCAATCAAGAAAGATAGAACTTAACCGGAAGACAGCTGATGTCTATGAGTGCTTGCATAGGTCATAGCATATGGGAAGAGAGTCATTTAGTTAGCTTTCCTAAGGGTCTCGACAGTTAGCCACTGACGAGACACCGATGTGCAGAGGTTTTCACTCCGGCAGGTGTATTGGTAAACACCTCGCAAGAACTGATGTGCATGTGGGAGATTTCTGCTAGAGTGCGCTGACACCTATAGCCCTTCGGGGACACGGTAATGGTGCCGGGGCAACCCTTACGGAGAAGGGCATACTCACGTTGGTCGGGGTAACCTGATGGGGGAGTTTTTGGTATAAGTCTGACTACTTAAAGATTATACAAGAACTCTCCTACCCCGACACAATCAACATCCTCTCGAGAGACTTTAATTGAGATAAGCCTGAGCTTAACGATATTAAGTTTTACCGTTTACTTTTATTCTTTACACTTTGCAAGAGCTGTGTCTGAGAGATTTGAAGTTTGGTGCGGTCGCATCCTTAGGAGCCATCTACCTGAGGGAGCCCCCGTTACAACGTTACCCTACCATAGAGACCAGTTTCGTGTCACCCTGGACATACTTACCCTACCCTTGGGACACAATTACCCTATCTTCCATCGGAAATGTTGTCGGTAGAATTCCGGGAAATGTTAGGATTGTTCGTTACACAATGGCGATTGACGGACACTTGCTTGCACATTGATCAGAAGGCTACAGGAGGAGCTATAGTGCGCCGAACATGCTGTAAATTGACAGGATTATTTCTAACAGGTACCTGTGGCCCCAGGGTTCGCCCTGGGCATCATGGGCCAAAATGGGTGGAGTTGCCGTCTTACTAGTTAAAAGGAGTCTATGAAGACATGTCCATAACACTCTATACGTCGCGGCCATCCGTCTGACTGGAAGTTGTTCGCCGGATATATAACGGGGCCAAGGTGAGAAGATCAGGTACCTTCTCCAAAAAAGAATGGAGTAAAACAGACCAAGACTGACCCAGTTAGTGTGAGCTATCCAGAAGGGTCCCCAGAATAGTCCTGGGTAGTACTGGAAGCACTGGCATCCAGGAAGGTTTTACGCCAATCAAGCCTGCACATGCCCCTTTGCCGTAGGCTCTTTGTGGGTTATTTGAAAACTCTAATAGTATGATACTTATCACCGTGAGTGGTGTGTCGGGGGTTAGGGACCATGGGTAGCGCCCATGGGTCTCGCCACCACTACAGCTCTCCGCAGGAGTGTCGTAGACCTTTTAAGTTTGCAATCAAGAGAGATAGAACTTAACCGGAAGACAGCTGATGTCTACGGGTGCTTGCATAGATCATAGCACATGGGAAGAGAGTCATTTAGTTAGCTTTCCTAGGCGTCTCGACAGTTAGCCACTGGCGAGACACCGATGCGCAGAGGTTTTTATTCCAGTAGGTGTATTGGTAAACCCCTCGCAGAAACTGATGCGCATATAGGAGAATTCTGCTAGAGTGCGCTGACATCATAGGCCCTTCGGGGTGTGGTAATGATGCTAGGGCAACCCTTATGGAGAAGGGCATACTCATATTGGTTGGGGTAACCTGATGCGGGAGTTTTTGGTATAAGTCTGACTACTTAAAGATTATACAAGAACTCTCCTACCCCGACACAATCAACATCCTCTCAAGAGACTTTAATTGTGATAAGCCTAAGCTTAACGAAATTAAGTTTTACTGTTTACTTTTATTCTTTACACTTTTGCAAGAGCTGTGTTCGAGAGATTTGAAGTTTGGTGTGGTCGCATCCTCAGGATACATCTACCTGAGGGAGCCCCCGTTACAACTCAATAGTTAAAAATTTTCCTCTAATATTAAATACAAAGCTTCTTTAGCCTTCAAGTTTATCTTTCTAAAATGATATCATATAATAATAGTAGTACCTGCCTTTTAAAATCATATCTGAACTTAGACTTTATTATAATTAACAAAAGAATATTTAATCAGTACAAATATTAGGATTATACTAACTGTCTTAAAGAATTTAATATAAAAAATCTAGAAACAAGATTATTAGTACATAGGTTATAGAATAGAGTTTACTACTTATTTGCAGTTTTTGAATAGTAATTTGAATATAATTATCATAAATAAGATATAGAAAGAATTAGGTTTCACATGACTAACAGTTCTGAGTCATTGGTATATTATATTTTGTACCTAACTTGCTTTAGGAGTTATAGGAGTTTATATGACTCACAGCTATAATGTTGTTATTATATTATAATTGGTTACTTGTTTCAGTAACTCACCATTATAAGTCATATAATATTATAATTTTTACACATGACTCAGATTATAAGTTATGGGTTTCATTTAAGTGATATGAATTGCACACCTAACTTAGTTATTTGATTTTGAATAATTTAAAAAATGTTGCACAGCAACTCATATGAGTTGACTAAAGGATTCCATATGATATATAGTTGTGTGTCATATATTATGCATGACTCATAGGTATGAGTCACCAGGATTAGGGTTGTATGAAGAACATCTATATAAAGAAGTAACAGTACTCAAGAGGTAGAGTTCTTCATACTACCATCTGTAGTATTTCCTTACCTATTACTTTATTACTTTAAGAAAACCTTATTACACTCTCTCAACTATCTATTATCCTCTGAGAGCTATTAACCTTAAGATAATTTCGTAGGCATTGTATATAGGAGCCTTAGACTTAGCTATTAAGTACATAGGTATTGGCCTAAGAATTACTGAATTCAAGATAAGAAAGTTGTTACTTGTTATATAAGCCTTTGTTGGGGGTAGGGATTATTACAATAATTTGCATACAAAATTAAAATTAAAAATAACTGGTATGTATAATAGCTAAATCATTTAAACCAATTTTATGTTATACACTTCTGATTTTCTCCTGATGTTTCTACTTTGTAAGAATTTACCAAAGCTGGATAATAGAGAAATATCTAATTTTTCTACCAGTTAAAATTTTATAAAATGATTATTTATAAATTTGTGTTTTTAATTGCTTTTACTTTTTGCATAGTGTGGTTGCTACTAACCGTACGAGGACTTATTAGACAGGACTGTACTCGTACAGTTATGGTTTACCTCGAGGCAGAAACCAAGAGCGAGGGTTGCCCCATCCAAAGCTCTACTCGTACTAGTACTAGTACACGGTGTCATCTCGCCAAATGGGGTATCATGGCGCTTTGGCGGGGTTTGATCACCCCAAACTCGCGATCAATCATGTGATCGGGGGCAGAAGGCTGCCTAACAGGAGTTAACACGATCGTGATATCGCTTTATTATTATTATTATTATGTAGAACTAGTCTTTATAGGGATTCTTTGCCTTGAAACGGAGATTGCAACCCTGCACAGAGCTGCTCGGGTACAGGTACTAGTCCAAGTCCGTAGACGGTAACCCTTTCTGGAAGCCAAGTGGAGGGGAGAGCATGCGGGGGATCAGTCCGTCAGATACCGGTATGAGTGAGGTCGGAGGACTTGATTCAGCCCGCAGAAATTCAGATGAATTCTGAAGATATCCCACCGATACTCGAGTACAGGACCGTGAACGCATACGGTAAATAAATAAATACTTGTAGAATTGCAAGCGACTAGGACCAGCGGTCAGGCGAACACCGGTCAGTACTCAAGGGCTAGTATTCCAGAAGGCACCAACTGGCCATTCATTCACTCCAATCAGGCTATCTGCAGGAACAGGAGGGATGTCGAAACTTCCAAAACGGTTCCGCTCAAGTGGTAAAGGCACCGGCGGCGTCGTTTGGGTAAGGGAGAAAAAAAAGGGTTCGTTGGATATCAATCAATCATCGTAGCTGATCCCAAATCGTCGAATAGTTTCATTCTCCTGCACCCGACCACCGGTGGTCAGGGTAAAGTTGGGAAACGATTAATTTAGGTTAAACATCAAAGTAAATCCCTGTGTATGGTGCAAGTTCTGGGTACCGCTCTGCCCTAGATTGGGGTACGGTAGGAGGGTGCAATGAATTGTGCAATAATGGATTGCTTGGTTACTGTATTTGTATTGTACCTCAGGCTATCAGTTGTGACGGTTAACTGAATGTGCCCACTTGTGCCTTGTTCAGTCAGAGTTGTGCTGGCAGACGCGCCATTTTCAACATCACCTTTCGACCCAAACAGAAAAACTACTCGTACTTGTAAATGCTGACAGATATCGACAATTCACGTACGGTACTGAACCGGGATGTTGTTCACCCTACCCATCCTTGTTTGACACCCCTCACCCTTGCTTTTTCTATTTCCACACCCTCCCCTCTCCCTCCTTCTCCGAGGGCGTAAAAAAGCAACCCCACCATAATCTCTCTCCCTTTTGTAAAGCTGCATGTGCGCCGTGATTGGTTTTTTTTTATGGTCCTTTCCTTTCTTTTCCCATCATCCATTTCCCATCGTGATGATTCCTGGGAACTCGTGCCCTGACTTCGAACAAAGGAGAAGAAGAGGCACAGGGAGAAATGGGAGGAGAGGAAGGGGGCAAAAAAAAAAAAAAGGGAATACCGGGACGACAAGGGGAGTGAAATACAAGTACCGGTAGAGGGAAAAGAGTTTTCCCCAAAACACGGATGCTTGCTGTCTCAGACAATGGGAGGGAGCGAACTGGTCTGTGAGAACTGGGGTAAGCGCGGATTGCGACCAAAAAATCTCAGCCAACGGGGCCGGTGCGGAGACCCCCCAGGAAGAAACTGGCACACGACCCCTCTGACCCTTTGTGCGTGCAGCCCAGCCAAAAAGAGAGGAAAGAAGAAAAAAAAAAACTTCCTCCTTCTCTACGCCCAGAGAAGGAAGGAAAAAAAGAAAAGAAAAAAAGAAAGTGGTCAAAGACCAGTACGGTAGACCGACCAGATCCTCCCTGCCCTACTTGCTGGTTTCTCTAGCGAGAGCTGAAGGCCTGTGGGTGGGAACCTCACTCGGCTTGCGACCTGTCTGCACGCAGCCCTTCCCCACACGCTACTTACAGCAGCCGCTGGCCCTACTAAGCTTTCATCGTTGTCGACAAGCTTTCTCTTCCAATATCCACTGCCATTCGTACGTTGCAGGCTGTAGTTCATCTCAAATCCCTCCAAAGTTCCGCCGGAGAGCAACGAATGTGATAGAGACTTTCGGGAGATATCAAGAAAGGCTAAAAAGGGAAAGAGAAACATCCACCAAGAAAAGACGGGCTCCCCGGGATATCGAGGACAACGTGAGAGTGAGGGGGAAAGGAAAGGAGAAGAAGAAAAAAAGGCTACAAAAAACAAGCGGAAGGCAAGGAAAAAAACAAGAGGGATTATCACCACTACCACAACCAGACACCCGCGACTGCCGCTGCTGATATCAATACAATACAATAACTGCAATGGCATCCCCGCCCCCTGATACTCCTCCGGACGAAACAATACTGTCGACATCCTCCATCTTCTTTTCATTTTCACCCGCCCCGCTTCCTGGCATATTCTCCTTTACATCGCCGCCTCCCGCTGCAACCACAGTATCATCCTCGTATTCGTCGTCATCGTATCCTCGAAAACGAGCACGACCACTGGCGGACATCGATGGGCTGGATGGTGACTTTCGTGACTACAACAAGAAACGTCGGTTACGACTAAAACTTATCACCTCGCGACTGAGCGAACCCTTTGCCGTTCCCCCAACAAACATACTGGACCGGGGAAATTGCTCTCGAGTAGCGTTATGGGCGAAGACCAGAGCTGTTTCGCGGAACGTCCTGAGAAAAGCGGCCATACTGAATAAAATAAAAAGAGACGCTATGGCTGCGAGAGCTGCTCAGGAACGGCAGGTTGAGATAGCCAGGCAACAATTCAGGTAGAAGAAACCATCCAATATTCCTCCATCCCACGTTACTTTGCCTTGCCTTCTGCCCGCTCGACTGGGGAAAAGAGGGAAAAAGAGCCTGACATCGTCCCTCACTCTTTTGATGATTTTTTTGAACCTTTCTTGCTATTTTTTTTGGATGAACGGAAACATATGAATCTGACATATACTATTTTGTACGATCCAGAGAAAGGTTTGCGGCGGCTGCCCAATCGAGTCCCAAACGAAATCATGTAGCCCAGTTTCACCCACCGCTGGATCAAGAGGCGTATATAATGAAGCCTCGGAAAACCAAGGGCTCCAAGGGCTCGCAGCACTCAAAAAAAGTTCATAAACCAGACCTATCGAGTATGCCAGACCCCTACGGGATCCCAAAACATCGGCGGCCGCCAACACCACCCAGCGAATCGGAACTGGATTGGCAACGACAGGGAATGGGCTTGGGCATCTGAGTGAATAGGATATCAGACAAAGAAAAATCGAAATCAGAAAAAAAAAAAAAAAACCCTTGATGAAAAGTTCTGGGAGGGTTTTTCGTTAGATGTCACTTTTTGTATTCCTCTTTTTTTTTTCTTGTTCGTGGTGTTGATACTTTGAGTGGGGTAACGGGGATTGGTCATTTGGGGGATGCGGAGTCATGGAGCCAACTTTTCGGGAGAAAACAAAAACAGGGTTTTTTTTTGTTCCTTTCTAATTTCTGCTTAGCCTTTTTTGCTTTCTCTCTTTTTCGCTCGCTTTGCGGACATGTACAACGAAAATATTTTCTTCTTTGCGCTTTATTGGGAGGGATTCGTCAAATTCTGTATTCTGTCATCCTTATTTATTCATGTCTTAACTCTTGCCGGTGGCTTTTGTTCATACGGCTTTTTTGGGGGTGAGTTTGTTGGCTCTATCTCTAGCAATGTCGCACACAATCTGCATGTATTCCAAATTTTTGTACGTTAGTTAACCTCGCAGCGATACCCTAGGAAGTGGGGAGTAGTGATAGTAGGGTATAACGAGAGAAGGGATTACAAGGATAGGGAGGCGGAGGAAAGCTGAGTTTAGTGGGGGGGGGGAAGGAGGTTGAAGGGGAAAGTGGTAGGAAAAGGCGGAGGGCACTTTGATGGCTTCTTCTTTCTCAGCTTCGAAATCCCCTCGCGTGATTCTCCTTTCCATATCTTTAATGATGATTTGCCTGCTACGACCGTTGACAAAGGCGCTTTTAGCTCAAGAGTTAGTTTGTGCGAAACTTTTAACTCGTCGTTGGAGTGGCCGTCGCAGTGATGAGCTGAGTTGAGCGATTGGGTAGTGATGACCTACATATATCTCATTCCTAACAATTCATAGAAATGGCCTCACATTAGCCTGGAAACCACCAACTTAGAGTTCAAGGCTTTCTCCCCTCCGGCCAGGGACACGGGGCGCAGAATGCAAAACACACGGCAGGCATTGGGCCAGTGATGAGATCAAGTGAGGATAAAGTAAATAGAAACTTGGAGAACTTACCAGCAAACTTCTTCTCATACTCCTCATTCAGCCTCTTGAGAGCCTCCTCCTCTTCAGTGTTAACCGCGAGAAGGCTGACCTGCTCCCCGGCCGACAACTCGCTCTCTACCTTCCTAGCCCCCAGCCTCGGATGCGCTGCGAGTATCTTCAGTAGCCATTCCGTATTCTTGGCCGTCTTGCTCCCATTCAGGTCTGCCAGCAACCCGTACACGATTCCGATGAGGTCGTCGTAGCTCTCAAACGGTCCGGCGGCGAGGTACTCGAGCGCGAGGGTGTTGAGTGCATTGCAGGGCTCGAATAGGGCGTTGAGAATCTCTTTGTGCTTTCCCGTCGAGAGGGTTGGGACCGTGTTTGCTGGGGGAAGTTTGAAGGGTGTGGGAGACATATGTGTGTGTTGCCTTTTTGTCTTTTTATTATTATTATCGCAGGTGTAATGGGGGGGGGGGGGGTTTGTGTATGTGTAAGTAAAGTTTGGTGGATATGATGGTATTAGGTGATTTAATTAGATTTTTTTTTTTTTGTGTTGTAAGGGGGGTTTTTTTTATCGGGAGAGGAAAAAGAAAAATTAAAGGAAAAAAAATAAAAAAAGATTTGAAAAAGATTCCCCCTTCTCGTTGTGGTGCGGTGATGTGGGATGTAGTGTGAAGAGGGAAAGGTGGCGAGTGTGAGGTTGTAGTTGATAGTGTGAGAATGATAGTGGAAGGGTGGTGGTAATGCCGTACCGGTACCCGATAGTCGATGGTGCTATCGCTGCGTGTGCTCTGTGTGTGTATATCGTATGTAAGGGAGTGCTTTGCCGGATAGTCTACCTTTCCGTGCAGAGGGGGAAGTTGGTTTGCAACGGCGGGTTTTTGAGAGCGTGATAGATGGCTGTGACAAATTGTGGAGAGTTTGATCGGTCCGCCACGATCACCGTAGAAGTATCTAGGTAGTAGCAGTCGGGGAGAAATATTGGAGAAAAAAAAAACCACACCGTACTCGTACAATACAGGAGGACAAGGCCCGGTTCGTGGCGGCCGAATAAGATGGAAAGAGGAGGGCTGTTGTAAGGAATTGTTGGAGGAGAGTGGAAAGTGAGAATGTGAGTACTGGTACGATAGCAGGAGTAGGAGTAGCGAGGAGATAGGTGAGGGTGTTAGGAAATAAATAGACTCTAAGGAGCCACGTTCACTGCTCTGCTGTGCTCTCTGCTTTGCGCTTTGCTCTGTCCTTTCCCCTTTTCCCGTCACTCGCTCAATCCCACTTTACCGGTAGGGACGTTATTTATTGGTCATTGGCTTTGTCTCTCTCGCCCCGACAGAAGCTATTAAAAGCAGGGGAGGAAATATTTATTTTGGTTCAAACTACCGTATCATAATGGATGGATGAAGTGTACAAAGCTATCGGGACTTTTTTTTTTCCTACCCTTTCCCCTTTCTATTTTGCCTTATCGTCAATCGTTGATGTGCCCCGGGTGCCGGGATGGGAGCGAAGAAGCAAGGACAGAAGAGGGAGGGGACAAACAAGCACCAACGGGGCGGGCCTCGGCTTGTCCCGCCAGCCGGAAACAGCCTTCCCACGCGAGAGCTCCCTTGCAGATCCGGCACCGGCATGCCTCCCTGTCCCCCCGATCTTACGGTTATGCGCTCGGGAGGAATTGAGGGATAGAGGCATCGTAAAATAAAAATAAAAGATAAAATTTGATAATAATAATAATAATAATAATAATAATAATAATAACAATAATAATAATAATAATAAAGAGGTCGAGGTACACTAACGTGATAGCGTGGGAGTGAGTGAAATGCGTGGGACGAGTGATGAGTTGGTGTATGTGGGTTCGTCCCAGTTCTTGTGAGCGTACGGTACTCGAGTAGTGGGTGGTCCGGTCCGAACCATAATTCGGTGCGTACGGGCTGCCGCTTATATCCCTCTTCCTTCCCAATCCCAATGGTGTTGTATTGTTACGGAATAAGTATTCTATATAAAGTACTCGAGTACATCCGCCTCAATGTACACTTAGGGGATATGATATAGGCCTTCTTCCCAACTGTCTGCCATAAAAAACCCGCTGTTCATGACGGAACACTAATATCGCGCTTTGGATTAGGGGCCATCCTACTGCCTCATAGGGGCACCTTAACTCCGGTGACTACTTCATCTAGGACCCCTTGAACGTCAACATGCCTCAAATACTTTGCAATTGCGCTTGGCCGGCTTCCCCAAAGTATGCTCCGCTCGCCGTCGGCATGTTCGACAAGCTCAATGCGGTGGCTGTAGACTTTGTAGACTCCGAGGCTAGCCAGCGATGGGGTTACGAAATCTAGGCTATGCAGCGGCGCAAGGCATCTAGGTCCCGTCAGCAAAAATATTTCCCCCAATCCGCAAAGGGCATTCAGAGACTATCGGACAAGAGTACATATGTCGAGGTGGAGACCTGCCTCACTAGTTCCTCAAAATCCTTCGTTGCCCTGGCGGAGATCCCGCCTGCTACCGCTCTATGCATCCTTAGGAAAACGGTTAGATCGAACATATACCTCCTGATCTCAATGCCAACCGTCACATCGTCCGCCATCGACTTTATGGTATCCACTATGTCTTTAGGAACTAGGATATTTTTTCTGACTTGTGGAAATCTCGAGCCCCCGAAAGGAGGTGGAGTTGTTGACACCTTTCGAATAACAGAAGCTAAGGAGTCGACATCAGATTGCTCGGACTCAACTTCCAGCTCGACCTCCTCTGGGAATCCCTCATGAGCAGGATGATGATGGGAAATGAAAAAGTAATCACACTATTCTGCCGTCAGCTTCTTCCTTGGGTTGACTTTGTGTTTGGAATTTACCAAATGGCTAGAAAGGCTGGACTCGCCATTGGGCCTTCTGAGTAGGGCAATTAGGAGAAATCGATCGGGGGCGTAGTGGAAGTTTTTATTCCTCGTGCAGAATCGCTTGGTCCTGATAAGCTGCTAGGCATTAGCTTGTTTCCGTGTGCTCTCCTGGAATCTCTAGCTATTTAGCTAACCTCCAATGCTTGGGTCTGGATCTGATCGCTTGCGACATCGAGGTCCAGGGCGATAATGATGTTGGCAAGCTTACGGCTACAGCTTGTACTCTCGTCACGAGCGCCCTGTGAGGAGGTCCGTAAAAGGCTTGAGCGGTTTCGTGCACCGAGGTAGGATTCTCCGGACTAGAAGCCATAAGCTGGAGTAAACGAGGGGAAAAGAGCTCAACTACTTCATGGCTATTCACAGGCGATATGCCATGTGAGGTGGGCGAAGGTCGAGTTTCATCGAGTAGTAATGGTTCTATAAAATCATCAAGAGTGGTATCGGGGGTGCACCGAACAACCGCTACCGTAAGTCCAAATACCGCTGGCCCGAGCTGCCCAAAGATTAGAAAGACCCCAAGGCTTCGGATGAACACTCACTAGCTCAAGCTGCTGCCGCAAAAGCTCCAAGCATCCTGGCTCCGTCGTCAGAATACAATGCTTTCTAGTGACTAGTGACAACAGCACGGCAAGCTCAACATCGTTAAGCTGGTGGACTAAATCCGCAATATTTTCTCTGTCCATGCATGCCGTTTCGGGGTTATCGTTTGTAGGTAAGTAAAGTGGGGGGCGAGCTCAGATGTGAGAGAGGCTGAGGCGCTGTTTGGCAAAAACTTTGAGTCGGTACAATTGAGTTCATCGTTGGACTATGGCACTGGTAAGCGGACTCGTCACGGTCTATTCCCGCTTACATAATCTATATTTTTCAAGGGATATGATTGCACTTGCCTGTTTGCAAACTTGGGTGCCGGACAATAACAACAATGGTAAGGTTGTAAGTTTGTGCAAGACCTCCCCGAAGCTCATCGGCAGCTTCCGTAAGAAGAATTATTATTGAGGCTCAAAGTTGAAACTGAGATGCTAGTTACCCGACTTAGCGTCACAACTTTACCCGCAAGGGACATAACCACCTCATTCTTAGCCCTTCTGCTCCACTCCTATCCTCGATCTCCCGGCTGGCATCATGAAGTTGACTAAAACCCCCCAGGAATTTGTGGACGAGTCCCTACTGTTACTGAAGGCTCGGCCTTCAACGGTACGCTTACCTATGTTTAAACCCATCGCATGAAGCTAATTTTCTACGAGACTAGAATAACGACATCGTACCATGCTGCTACTGCTGGAAAAGGCAAGCTTACTCTCAAAACCTACGATCCTGTTTCCGGCGCTCTTGTGAAGTATCGAACCTCTAGGATTGCGGTTGTGGGTCGGTTGGTCTCTGGGTTAAATAGGCTTGGAAGACAGCAGGCTAGAGTCCCTGAGCCTACAGTTATAGGTAAGAATTCGACAGCTGCGCTTGGATTCCGCTGGCGGTTGTAGTCCGTACAGTGGGACTACCAGCTAACTACTTGGGGCGGTGACTACAGCGGTGCAAGCGCCCTCTGCATCGGGTACAAGCACACCAATTCCTGGACAGGCAGCCCCACCGGAACCCCCGAAGTCAAAGAAGAAGAAGAAGAAGGGAAAGTCATAGTGGCACCTTATGTTTGGTGGCTTGATGTGGTGGCACACCTGGTATTGTGTAACATGGTCTCATCGAGGCTGACCGTTTGGAGGTCTTTATACAAGGCCGTCTTTGTTTGGACTTTGAAGGTAACCAGAGTGTGATAGAATCTGGTAATAAAATATTTTTACCTAGGTTTCCGGAAGGTTTATGATTGGTCAGGGAGATTGCAAAAATCATGAAATATCACCCGTATCGAAACAGTGAGCACCTGTTCGACATTTTGTGTGTGGGCGATTACACGTTGCAGTTGTGGGAAAACGTGGACATACACAGGCCATTACACATACTGGCATTGAATTCTTTTTCGTGATATTTACTTCCTTCCCATCCCCGCTTTGCTACTTCCAGCCTTCATCCTTTTCATCGCCTCCCTAATATATTGGGCTCTTTGGGCTGTCTAATGTACTTGTTTTATTCCACATTGCTCTCCTCGTCGGTGAACCTCTGGCGTGAGGCCTCCGCTTGAGCTGTTTCACTTCTCCAATGAAGCATGAAGATAGACAGAACGGACCAGTCAAGATACTTCTAGCATAAAAGCAAGAAGTAAGGAAAATACAAAGAGGGCAGTATGAAGAGCTCTACCTTGTAGGCCCAAAGTCTCTCTTATATAGTTCCTCTTCATAAAACTCTGACTCCGGTGACTCACACCTGTAAGTCATATAAAATTTATCAGTCAACCCATACAAATTGCTGTATAACATATTGTAAACCAATCATGAACCAAGTAACCAGTTATGTATCCCTTGGAGCGGTGAAACAACGAAATTCAGTGCTTCCGCG